AGAAAGCCAAGGTAACAATACAAGGAAAACTGCCCCTCCACAAGGAATAATAGCCGGGGATCTCTTGGTATCCTGAGGATCTCTTGGTATCCTCATCATATACACGGGGGGATCTCTTGGTATCCCGAGGATCTCTTGGTATCCTCAATAAGTAAGCCGGGGATCTCTTGGTATCCCGAGGATCTCTTGGTATCCTCAATAAGTAAACCGGGGATCTCTTGGTATCCCAATATATATATAGAAACACATGTGCCAGGGATCTCTTGGTATCCCGCACCCTTAGTCCAGAATATCTCAAGTACAGGGGGATCTCCCGGGAATCCGTCCCGTAGTCCCAAATTAAACACACAACAACAACAACTCATAATCTCAGGATAATGCTAAAAATCAGGACAAGAAATAGTAAATTCTAGCCTAACATGCTTCACAGAGTACAAATAGCACAGCTAAAACAAATAAGCAAGTAAGCCAGCTAAACATGAGTCTCTAAGCTAGCACAGGTATAAACTTACAGTCTAAAATGAACAAGTAAACAGGAAATCTCAATTTAAATACTTCAAGTAGAAACGGGTTTACAACAATTAGCTCAAGTACGCGCTCGTCACCTCACGTACGAGGCATTCAAATATTCAAGATCATGTCCTAAGGGAAAGGTCCCCCACACAAGGTTAGACAAGCCACTTACCTCGAACCGGCTCAATATCAACTAGAAACCACGCTCTTGCCACGAGTATCCGACTCCAAATGGCTCAAATCTATTCAATTCAATTACACATTGTAAATAACATCGCAAACACCTGGTTTTGCTATTAAATTCAAAGCTACGGCGTAAAATTAGGTGAAATGACCAAAATGCCCTTCAGGCCAACGCCTCGGAATCGAATAATTTTTACATTTTCAGAACCCTCATACTCTCACGAGTCTAACCATATAAAAATCTCCCAAATCGGAGGTCAAATGCTCACTCAAAGCCCAAAAGTTTGGCCTAAGAAGTTTTAATCAAATTCCTCAAATTTTAGTCCCAAATTCGAATTTTAATGATGGATTTAACTACAAAATGATGAAATATAACTAGAAGAGATTAAAGAAACGTTACCCAATAATCTTCTCTTCAAAACTCACTCAAAATCGCCCTCTCCCGAGCTCTCAATTGATTTTTGTAACTTATGAACTC